GCCCTCCAAATGCGCCGACAACGCCTGATGTGAGCTTGGACGGAGGGCACGGCAATGTCCCTTTCGTCATCTGGGAAAAGAGGTGGTTGGTAACCCAGGGAGACCATGAAAGGAGACATACCAGTAGCGGATGAAACCAGCGAATTGTGGGCATATTCAATCCAGGGCAGGAACTTGCTCCATGAAGACTGATGCCGAGATGTAACACAGCGTAAAGCAGACTCCAGATCTTGATTAGTCCGCTCTGTCTGGCCGTTTGAATGCGGGTGATAACCTGAGGAGAGACTAACAGAAGTCCCAAATGACTGACAGAAAGCTTCCCACACTTGCGACGTGAACTGTGGGCCTCTATCAGAGACTATGTCAGAGGGGATTCCATGGAGTCTGAACACATGGAGGACCAACAAGTCAGCAGTTTCAGTAGCAGAGGGCAACTTGGGGAGAGGAATGAAATGTGCGGCCTTGGAAAATCGGTCAACTATCGTAAGTATAGTGGAGTTACCTTCCGATTGTGGCAGGCCAGTAACAAAATCCACAGCAATATGAGACCATGGCCGGCTGGGTATGGGGAGAGGGTGAAGGAGGCCAGCTGGTTGTCGGTGACTGGATTTACTGCGGGCACAGACAGAGCAAGCAGAGACAAAGCTACGGGTATCTTGGTTCATTGTAGGCCACCAGAACTTTTTCTTTAAAAACAACAGAGTGCGATGGAAACCAGGATGACAGGTAAGTTTCGAAGAATGGGCCCACTGGAGAACAGGTGAGCAAGCAGAGTCAGGGACAAACATGAGGTTATCTGGACCATTACCTGGGTCAGGTTGTGAACGTTGCGCCTCTCTAACCACTCTTTCAATCTGCCAGAACATAGCTCCTATTACAGAGACAGGGCACTCTTTAGGCTGGTCCAAAACACTGGATGGAGGGAGAATAGCATCTGGCTGAGGTTCTGGTTCGTTGACAGTATATTGACGCGATAACGAATCAGGTTTAACGTTGCGGGATCCGGGACGGTAAGTGAGTGTGAAGTTAAACCTTCCAAGGAACAGAGACCAACGTGCTTGACTGGAGTTTAATCTCTTAGCTGAGTGGAGATAGGAGAGATTCTTGTGATCAGTCCAGACAATAAAAGGCTGTTCAGCACCCTCAAGCCAATGTCTCCATTCCTGAAGGGCCAGGACCACTGCCAGAAGTTCCCTGTTTCCAACGTCATAATTACGCTCAGCAGGGGAGAGACGATGCGAGAAAAAAGCACATGGATGCAATTTAGAGTCCTTGTCTGAACACTGGGACAACACTGCCCCAACCCCGGTGTCTGAAGCGTCAACCTCAACAATGAATTGCTTGCAAGGATCTGGATGGCTCAAAACAGGTGCAGTAACGAAAAGTTCTTTAAGTGCAGTGAATGCCATCTCTGCCTCGGGAGTCCACCTAAAGGGAAGTTTGGTGGAAGTCAACTGCGTGAGTGGGGCTGCTTTAATGCTGTAATTCTTGATGAATCGGCGATAGAAGTTTGCGAACCCCAGGAAACGTTGAAGTTGTCTGCGAGACTCCGGCCTTGGCAACTCCGCCACTGCAGTCACCTTAGCAGGATCAGGTTTAACCAGTCCCTGTTCAATCACAAAACCAAGAAAACTAACAGATGCTGCATGAAACTCGCATTTCTCAGATTTAACCAAAAGTTTATTCTCCAGAAGTCGCTGCAGGACTAACCTGACATGTTGTACGTGCTGATTCAGGTCCTTGGAAAAAATCATAATATCATCGAGATAAACAAAAACAAACTTATTGAGCATGTCTCGAAGTACATCATTAACAAGGGCTTGAAACACAGCCGGGGCGTTAGTCAGACCAAAGGGCATAACCAAATATTCAAAATGTCCAAGAGGTGTGTTAAAAGCAGTTTTCCACTCATCTCCCTTTCGAATTCGGACGAGGTGATAGGCATTTCTGAGGTCAAGTTTTGTGAAAACTGTTGCTTGATGAAGTGGCTCAAACGCTGAGTCAATCAGGGGCAAAGGATACTTGTTTTTTACAGTTATCTCGTTAAGGCCACGATAATCAATGCATGGACGAAGCGTCTTGTCCTTCTTATCAACAAAGAAAAATCCAGCCCCGACAGGGGAAGAAGAGGGGCGGATCAACCCGGCAGCCATGGAATCTTTAATATAAAGTTCCATGGCTTCTCTTTCTGGGCGTGACAACTTATAGAGTCTACTGGAGGGCAACGGGGCTCCGGGGAGTAAGTCTATAGCACAGTCATAGGGTCGATGTGGCGGAAGAGACAAGGCTTTTTGTTTGCTAAAGACCTCTCCCAAATCATGATAATCTTTCGGAACGGCAGACAAATCAGGAGGACTAGGTGGTGGTATTGTGCGATTACTGCTGGAAGTTAAAGCCGATTGCAAACAATGGGAGTGACAGAATATGCTCCAACTTGTGACTTTGTTAGTAGACCAATCAATGTGGGGGTTGTGGAGTTTTAACCAGGGAAGGCCGAGAACAATTTGAGCATGGGGAGAGGAGATAACCAAAAAGTTAATTACTTCCGTGTGGTTGCCCGAAATCAAGAGCGTAATGGGGACAGTGCAATGAGTGATCTTCGCAAGGGGCTGGCCGTTCAAAGCATTAACATCTCTAGGAAAATCTATGGGTTTGGTCGGAATATTGGCCCGGGCAACCAGAGAGCTGTCAATAAAATTGTCGTCTGCCCCACAATCTACAAAGGACAAAATTTGAATTGACTCACGGTTCCACATGATGGATGCTGGGAGTTGGAGTCGGTCGGGACAGGAAGATTGGAGAGAAGACGTTTGGCTCAGCAGTACCTCCCCGCTTACTGGTGAACCCTCCCTTTTGGCTGCCGAGGACAAGTAGAGATGTAATGACCAGCCTGTCCACAGTAAAGGCAAAGGCCGGCATCTCGGCGACGTTGACGTTCCTGAAAAGAGAGATGGGCTCGACCAATTTGCATGGGCTCCTCCGCAGCTACAGGTTCCTGGAACGTGTGAGGCACAGAAGGAGCTGAGGATCTTAGGGTAGGGAATGTGTGAGGAAAACTGGTGCGAGTCTGGCGCAGACTAGCTCTCTCTCTTAGTCTCTCCCTCAGTTGATTGTCCAAGCGAGTGGCTAGGGAAATTAGTTCCTCTAACGAATTACAATCGTCTCTGGCTGCCAACTCATCTTTAACATTTTCGTTTAGGCCTCTAAAAAAAGCAGTCTGCAGGGCTTTGTTGTCCCATCCACTCTCAGAGGCCAAAATACGAAAATCTACAGCATATTGTGCCACAGGTGAAGTGCCTTGACTAAACGAGAGTAGCCGCTTAGCTGCCTCTCTCCCTTTAAGAGGGTGATCAAAAACTCTCCTCATTTCATCACAAAAATCATCAGAAGTTTGAAAAAACACAGATTTACTCTCCCAAAGTGCAGTAGCCCACTGAGAAGCTTTTCCAGTGAGTAAGCTCAAAATATAAGCTATTCTGGACTTATCTGTAGAGTAGGTCAAGGGTTGCAGATCGAAGACCATAGAGCACTGAAGAAGGAAACGCCCACACGCTCCCAAATCTCCAGAGTAACGTTCAGGGGTTGGAATATGAGGCTCCCGAAGAGAAACTTGCGGTTGTGGGAATGAAGGAGGTGAAGAGACAGCGGCCTCTGGAGCAGCAGCGGGGAAGTGCTGAAAAAGCTGATGCATGTGGCCTCCCAAATTTCTCATGTTAGAAGATAGTTCTTGAAGCTTGCCCATCACTTCTTGAAGCATCTTGTCATGCTGGCCCACGAGAACTCCCTGAGAAGCCAGGGCCTGCCGTAGAGCGTCTTGGTCTGATGGGTCCATGTGGCCAGATTGTTCTGTCATGGCGTAATGGAGGGGACCCAGAGGAGACGCAAGACTTTCCAAAAAATTTATTTATTACAAAAAATAAAATGTAACGGAGGCTGGCAGGGTCTGGGACAAACACCGTTTGTGAATGCACCCCGACTCCCTGTTGCGGTGCGGCGCTGTGAGCTGGTGCTTTTCACATGTGTCCGAGTCGTAATGAAAACACAGGGTGAGTTAGCGACAAAGTTTACACCGTTTACATTTGACACAAAGTATAGATGTGGGAAAGTGGACTTTTAAAAGACTTTTAACTGCTTTTATTTTTGTGATGTGTTTTGTGTGTTTTTATGGTTTTAATGCATGTATTTTATCACTGTTCCCTGGACACTTCCCCTAACCCGCACCTGTTTTAATCAAGACCTTTTAATTGGGGGCGGGCACTGCAGGACTGAGCACAGACAGAGAGAGAGAGAGAGAGAGAACACGGGGGACCAGAGGAGGAGGACGCGGGACCGGGCCAAGGACGAGGACGAGCACCGCCAGCCAGAGACCACGGTGCACTGAGGCCAGCGGGGGGAGCGGCACCGGTGAGGGGGGCGCGCATTGACAGCGCATGAAGGCGCGTGCACGCCCGGGCTAGGCCCAACGACGACCGGGATGTGCCGGCTCTCCCCCGCGGGTGCCCGGTGCCGACCCGTGATCGGCTAGTGGCTGGCGGAACTGCGGCCCGGTCCCGGGTGAGAAGAGCGGAGGACAGTGAGGACGGACTCTGGGCTTTTAATCATCTTTCATGGATCCCTTTTGTAAATATTGTATTAAATTTTATCCCCTTTTTATCCAGTTTCCCTTTTTATGATCACACCCCCTCAACAGACACTTTTAAACCTGTGACATAGACACACGCACTGCAGCGCATTACTGTCTGTAGTTTATGAGCAGTGGCATCTCAGCTATGGAAACGCTTTCTGTTAACAAGTTGTTGCCATAGCTCTATATCTTATTGCTATGATACTTGGTTACCATGGCGATGATGTCATAAAGACAATGATATCACCACAATCTTAAGGTATTCTGTCCTTAGGTGGCCTGTGTTGAACCATATGACCAGGGTGCTTGGTGCCTGCGACCCAATGCTTCGCAAAAACACAACACAAGACGACTCATAAATCACTACAGCTTCAAAATGGAGACCAGGAGAAGAGTGAGAAGGATCACAAAACGGGAGAATGAGGACTCTCGACTCGCTGAGACCATAATACGCGAGCATGTAGAGAAGCAGCAATTGCGATTACAGCAGAAGGAACTGGCTCAGAGAGAGGCTGAGGCCAGAGACAAATTAAGCACTGAGGTGAAGCGTGAAATCAAGCAGAAGCGAGAGCAGCAACTTCTGCAGATCCATCTGGTGCAAGAACAGATGAAGACACGCCACCAATGTGGGCTGGAGTCAGAGCGCAGGAAGGCCCAGCGAAGGTGGCGGCGGACAGAAAAGTGTGCTCAGAACAATAAACGCCTTCTGGAAGAACGGCATGAAAGTCAGGAGCAGGAGGAGAGAGACACCCAGAAGAAGACGGAACAGCAAGAGTACGAGGGGCAAGTGGAGATGGCCATCCGTAGAGCTTCCATGGAAAACCGTATCGCTCTTCCTGTGTGGGGCCAAAGAAACGGTCGATAACCGTCTTCACTTCTACAAGGACGGACAAGGCTTCATCGTGAACTCCAAGAGGAAGTTTGAGCCTCGTCAGTCTTTAATTTTGACCGATGAGACGCCCAAAAAACAGGTGACAGTACCTCAAGGCAACAACACTCCAAAACCAAAGAGTGTGAAACAAGTAAGAGTACAGGAGCAGAAACAGCCATCCCCCAGTGTTTGCCGAGGATTAGGGTTAGGGCCAGTCAAGAAGTTGGACCAACCTCCACTAAAATTGTTGGCCAAGAGAGGATCTAGGGGATCAGCTCTTCCTATGAGGTCAAATTTACTAAACAGTGTGGTCCTGACAGAAGATAGTTCCAAGCCTGCTCTGGAACATAAGTGTGAGGAATTAGAATTACCTGTAATTAGTAATCCAAAAAAGAAGCTGAGCATAATCCCAGTTCAGGCACCAACAGGTGAAACCAAGTCTGAGAGAGGAAAGCATCCTGCAATTCAGCGTCAGGTGAAGTCAATAACATTACCAGAGGAAGAGGAACCATGCAGAATTGTGGGCAATGTGAAGGTGGTTAGAATCCCAACCCGGGGGGCAAAGCGAAGCCAAGTCCCAGGTTTGGATCCAGACACATTAGCCGTGATGTTCCACCCACGTCCCCCCATGACACCAAGACAGCCTGGAAGAACCGGAACGTACAGAACCAGGAACCCGGTTGTCAGATTCCCCCAAGGCCTAGCAAACGACTCCAAAGTCCCAAACAAAGTTGCTCCAATCCTCACAACTCCCCAACATGTGAGACCCCACATTAATCACGTCTCTTTCTTTTAAGAAGGAGCTAAAATTTGGATATAAACAGGTTCGCAAAACTTCCAAACATAAGTGAACTGAAAAGTGTTCAAAAATATCCCCAAAGTGTCGGCAAAGCAACAGAATGTGATTCTATTGTTTTGTCCATATTTGGCAAACCAACACACACTGACCTCTCAGCCATGAGTTGGAGATTTTTAACCTGTGGGTGTGGTTAGACACTACACCCACAGATTATAATTGGTCTCTCTGTGGTAACCATGTCGAGGTGTCTAACCCCCCCCCCCCCCCCATGGCAAACACAAGACCTGTTTGCCATGGGAGGTCCTACCAGGGTGTGGTCAGACCCCTCATATGGGGTGTCTAACCACACCCATCCATCCATTTTCTTCTGCTTCATCCGTTGCCAGGTTGCGGGGGCAGCAGTCTAAGCAGAGACGCCCGTACTTCCCTTTCCACACACAATTACTCCAGCTCATTGTGAGACCCTGCATTAGTCACATGTCTTTCTTTTAAGAAGGAGCTAAAACTTGCATTGCTACAGGTTTGTTAAACCCCCAATTAGAAGTGAACGTGTCAGTAATGTAACAAGGGCTTGGGATTATGGTCCAAAATCTATGACAGCTCAGGAGTCATCTGTGGGGGTTGGTTCTTTATCCTCTCTGATGGTCAGTGTGTCTCATTGGATCAGAATACCATGACACACACTGACCTAACCTACTGACTCTTTTTGGCACATTTAGAGTCACACAATCACACCAGGGACCATCAAACAGCAGGCAAAGCACTGGGATATCTGACCTTGTTGTTTTGTTCATGTTTGTTGATCTGCACATCTGACCTCTCCTCAGAAATGTGTCAAATTATCCCCCAAAGTGTCAGCAAAGCAACAGAATGTCTGATTCTATTGTTTTGTCCGTATTTGGCAAACCATTACAATGACACACACTGACCTCTCAGCAGTGAATTGGAGATTCATGACCTGTGGGCGTGGTGTCTAACCTTATAAATGGTCCCTCTGTGGCAACCCCCTCCCCCTCCTCCCATGGCAAACACAAGACCTGTTTGCCATGGGAGGCCCTACCAGGGAGTGGTTTGACCCCTCATATGGGGTGTCTAACCACACCCATCCATAGGCCTGTCACGATAACAAATTTTGCTGGTCAATAAATTGTCTCAGAATTTATTGCGATATTGTTCTAAGATATCTGATGATATCAAACAGCCAGGACCTTTGTAAACAAAGTTATGAAACAGATGCCTCAATAGGCCATATGTAAACATAATTTTAGAAATTATTTACGCCCAGTAGTCCCGCCTCCCCACACAGCATGCGACTGACAAGTGACTGACATGAGGGTTCACTCATCGTTAATGGGGAGTTCAGACCGCTGATGTTGGAACGCACCAGACGCACATTCTCTAAATTTTAATTTCAGACACAGCTGTGTTCAGACCAGAAGTCCTGGGTTGCGGTGGCGCCCGCCGGAAGAGGCGGAAGTAGCGGGCGGACTTTGATGCTTTGATTTTAAGCCGCTAGCTTACCTCCGTTAGCGCAGGACCCAGAGGAGACACTACGGTTTCGTGTCTCCTCTGGGTCCTGTGTCGTCTCTGTGGCTACGGGCGGCTCTCTGCTCCTGGTCCAGACGGCTCCTTGGATGACGGTTTTTCAGCTGGTTGCATCTGAACCCTACCAAGTCTCTCTTCATGGTTTTACTGTTTTATTGGTGTGTGTGTGAGTGTGCATGAGAGCGTGTGTGAGAGTGTGTGTGTGTGAGAAAGCGTGTGTTTTGTTTGTGTGTGTACGTGTGTGGTTTGGGGTGGGTCTGTTGGGTGGCCGGGGGGAGGGGTCATGGGCCGGCGGGATTGTTTTTAACCAAACTGTAAAGCACTTTGTGTTGCATTTTCTTTAGAGTGCTTTATAAAATTTGATTGATTGATTGAAAGTTCTTCCCCAATAATGCAGCTCTGCAGCGTCTCTGTCCAGAGACCCTCCACAGACTTTATATGACAGTAGTGTTCACGGAGATACGCCAGAGATTATATTATTAAACGGTACTTTTGCATCGGCGAACACACTGGCTCGCTGACCCGAGAGGGAGAGACAGAGACGACAAAAACAAACAAGCATGCAAATGGCATTTATCGCGGCCAGAAAAATTATTGAGCTACTTTTAATTATCATGTGAATAATGGATTTATTGAATATTGTGACAGGCCAAGGAACAAAAAACATTTCCTGAGGCTTAAACCTGGGGCGTCGAGTTAAACTGGTCGGTGGTTATTTAATACGTTAAGAGAAAGTGATGCCTACTACATATATTTTGTGTGTTCAAGTTTTATTTCCATGTTTCACTGCACAGTAAGACATCGCAGACGTCCTGAATTCTCCTGGTTAAAGAAAGGTCGGTACAAAAATAAAAATACAGTTTTCATTGTGAGAGTGTGTCATTAATGGACCAGGTAAATTTAAAACAGATGGAGCAGAGCTAAAACAACATAGTTCATAGTTTTTTTTAGTGCAGGATTGACGTGTCCATAGATGCTCTGGAGTTACATAAGGCTGTAGATTAAAAACACTCACATTATTCACATCCAATCGCTCCCTCTCCTGATCTGCAGTACAAGTTTATAGTGACGATTATGCAACAAAAGGAACGACTGTAAAATCAGAACCAGATTCTGCAGTTACAGAACAAGTTTTCCAATAACGAAGAGGTTCTGTTTGCCTGATTCATGGCGTGATTATGGGACATCAACCTCGATCTAACGCCTCAGTCCTGGATCTACAGCCTCAGTCCTGGATCTACAGCCTCAGTCCTGGATCTACAGCCTCAGTCCTGGATCTATAGCCTCAGTCCTGGATCTACAGCCTCAGTCCTGGATCTATAGCCTCAGTCCTGGATCTACAGCCTCAGTCCTGGATCTATAGCCTCAGTCCTGGATCTACAGCCTCAGTCCTGGATCTATAGCCTCAGTCCTGGATCTACAGCCTCAGTCCTGGATCTATAGCCTCAGTCCTGGATCTACAGCCTCAGTCCTGGATCTATAGCCTCAGTCCTGGATCTACAGCCTCAGTCCTGGATCTACAGCCTCAGTCCTGGATCTACAGCCTCAGTCCTGGATCTATAGCCTCAGTCCTGAATCTATAGCCTCAGTCCTGGATCTACAGCCTCAGTCCTGGATCTACAGCCTCAGTCCTGGATCTATAGCCTCAGTCCTGGATCTACAGCCTCAGTCCTGGATCTACAGCCTCAGTCCTGGATCTACAGCCTCAGTCCTGGATCTATAGCCTCAGTCCTGGATCTACAGCCTCAGTCCTGGATCTACAGCCTCAGTCCTGGATCTACAGTCTGCAACGTCCATGGAAGCGGATTCCTCTTTCAGTATGGGCCTCCCCGAGGTTTCTCACTTTTCTCCCACCGGGTTTTTCAGTGGTGGCTTGCTGATATAGAGGGGTCTAAGTACAGTGATGATCAAGGAAATATATGCACATTCAAGGACATTTATGGACAGTGGTCGTCTCACTTCACACAAATCAATAGCTCCTATGTAATTGCTATTATTGGATTGCAAATTTGGCATAAATGATTAAGTTTTAATAATTCAACATTTATTTGAATTGTATATATTACATGCTAAGTTGGCCATTCTTATCGTTAATTAATTGTACATTGTAATTCTGTTGTCACTTCGCCTTTGCGCAGAGACTATGGTAAAAAAGCCTCATCCAGTTCGTACAATACATTCATTGTATCTGTTCACTAAATAAATACTAAATGGAAGGACCTCTCCACCCACCTGGAGAGGGCAAGGCCCCTTTTTCCGGTCGAGCACCATGGCCTCGGATTTGGAGGTGCTGATTCTCATCCCAGCCGCTTCACACTCGGCTGCAAACCGTCCCAGTGCATGCTGCAGGTCCTGGTTCGTTGGAGCCAAGAAGACAACATCGTCTGTAAACAGCAGAGATGAAATCCTGTTTCCAAACCGGACCCCCTCTTCAGGCCCCTGGCTGCGCCTAGAAATTCTGTCCATAAAAACAGTGAACAGAACCGGTGACAAAGGGCAGCCTTAGTGGAGGCCAACATTTAAATACAGCATTAGTTAAAGGTACGCTGTGTAATTTCTAGTGCCTCTAGCGTTGAGATCCTATATTGCAGTCTCATATATTGAGATTTGAGTACGGGTGCCTGTAGAGTTAAGGACACTTTTGCTTATA